TGCATAAGCACCTATGGGCCCAAACCAAAACGTGACAGACACATAGTAAGGGACAGTCCCTGCTTGGGAGAGCATGCATTCTGAAAGGGGTGAAAGAGAAAAAATGTTGGTAACCCCGGTTGACAGATGGGGAATTTAGGCACAGATGGATTAAGCAATTCACCCCAACATCACACAAGAAGTCTATGGTAGAGCAGGCAGGACCGGCACCAGCGCAGGAAGCAGGTGCTTGGGGCGGCCCATGGAAAGGGGCGGCACGTCCAGGTCTTCAGCGGCAATTCGGCAGCATGTCCCTCAGTCCCTCTCAGATTGAAGGACCGGCTGCCGAAGAATGAAGTGGCGCTGTAGAGCAGCCGCCGAAGTGCTGCCGATTGCGGCTTTAACTTTTTTTCTTTTTTTTTTCCTCTTCGCCGCTTGGGGCGGCAAAAAAGCTGGAGCCGGCCCTGAGAGCAGGGCATTGAACCCAGATTTCCTGAGTCCCAATTCCAGTGTAGTGTCTTAACCACAAGAACATGCTTAAAATATAACCATGGTTACATAATCTCTTGAGTCCAGTCTCTGCTCTGTGAAATGTGCATTGTATCAAACTGTCATTTCAATGGGATTGGAATCAGCCCTTTAAAGTGTTAGGTAATTGTGTGAAATTAGATATTGTTGTGCCCCTCTAGTTCAGTTGAATAGTTTGCAGTTGTCCTCAGAATTATGCTATCTGCACAGAATAAGACTGATTGTATTAACTCTTTCTTCCTCCTGGAATTTTTTGAGCTTACCAGACATCTACATTTCACATTCTTGGCAGGCTGGAGATCACCTAATTATGTGCTGCTGCCTAATTCCAATGACCATCCACCTCTGCAAAAGACTGCTGAGTTAGAGGAGATTTGGAATAAGCAGAATATCAATAACTGAGATACACAGTGCATTAAACATCTTGTTATAGTTAAGTTGCAGAGCCATAAATATACAGAACTATCTTTAAATTGCCTCCCTGTCGTGCATACCAGGACTATGATTAATGCAACACACTTCCAAGAGGTGGTAGGATTTTGCAGAAACAGAAATTAACTCTAGTGCATTTACTATTGTATTATCAGAGACCAATGATGCCATAAATGCTGAGCTAAAATATTGGTAAGGGACTAAAAAATTGCTAATGCCTGCTGAACCCGGTACACTTGTGTCCTATTAATACTTGATGTAAGCACAGCTAAATTGCTCCTAAATTAATAAGTGTATTCCCCTGTGTGAACTGTGACAAAAGATTTCCTAGTCCCATGATATTAAGTTACAGAAATTACATAAAAACAATGTCATCTTGTTGGGAAATGATGACTTGGGATGTGTAGCCTTTATGTACTAATTTGGTCTTATTGGTGACCTTATTGTCTTTCCTCCTTGGAGGTTCTTTTTTTTCAGCCCAGGCTTCCGCCATATATTATTATAGCAGGAGATAATTTATTTCCCATTCTTCAATTTCCCCTAGCTGGAAGTTAATGTGGGGCAAACTTCTTTGAGGAAATAAGACTTTAGTTGAAAGACATTCAACCCTTGAAGTTCTGGGTAGTGCAATAGTAGGTGATCTAAGCAGGGCCGGCTCCAGGCACCAGCACAGCAAGCTGGTGCTTGGGGCTGCACATGGAAGGGGGCGGCACGTCCGGCTCTTTGGCGGCAATTTGGCGGCGGGTCCCTCACTCCCTCTCGGCGGGAAGGACCTGCCGCCGAAGAACCCTGGAGCTGGCTCTGGATCTAAGTTATCGAAAGAGTGCACTGTTAACTAGTCTGGGCCGGATGCTCAGCTGGTGTAAATTAGCACAGCCATGGAGTGACGCTGATTTACACCACATGAAGATTTAGTCATCCAAGTCTCTAATCTTGTCATTCATGGATGTGATGTCTAACCTCTGAGTTAAAAAGGAAACAAGCAACCTTATTCACGTTAGACCTAAATGTTCTGAGCCAGCAGAGTTGTAGGGGAAGTTGATTTAATGGTGAAAAGAAAACTTCCAAACCATAGAGTGATAGACCACTCTGTCAGTAAAGGTGGGGAGGAGGAGAGAAACATGGGAGGGTCAGAAGTTCTCCGAGTGGGTAGCTATTAATGTAGCTTTTGCAGTGGTAATGAAGAATCATGGAAGGTTTAAGGAAAAAGGCAGACTAGAACTTGCTGTGGAAATTTGGGAGGCAAAGGAAGCAGCAAGTGCTAGGAACTTCTGGTAAAGGAGAGAGGCAGAGGAAGCCTTCCTTAGATTCTGGGGGGAGGTGAGAGTAAGTAGCAAAAGACTTGTGTAGAAATCTATGGGGATCAGCCTGTAGAAGAGTCAGAGCCAGTATAAGTCACTGCAAGTTGGAGCCTGCATAATGCATGTGCTGCCTTTATACAATTAATTAGTAGGATGGGGAAAAAATGATATTTGGAGTGTCACAATTTTCAGATGATATTTGGATCCTTGAATATCTGAATCAGCATATCAGCCTCTTCAGGAACTCCTTCCTTTTAACTGGCTACAAGACTAGCTTTAAGATGTTTTCTGCCACAAAATAAAGGAGTCCCCAGCAGCCTGAACCTCCACCTCATTATTCCATTTCACATCTTTAGGTCTCCCTCTTCTCCTAAGATCTTTAGGGACAGCTGAGAACTCAATATCTTCATTTTTTATCTTTCAGGCCACCACCCCTTACAAATGCAAGGGGTGGTGAGAAATTGATCTTAGCAGCATTGAAACTAATAACCAATCCTGCATCAAATAGCTAATAGACACTGGCTAATTAGTTTTCAGATACTGGGAACACTCCAGAACCAGACATGCCAAACCCACGGGGGGGAAAAACACCAGAAATTGGGCTTGTTTTTGGCTTAATTGGCTTGTGAGTTGCTAGTTTTTGGCTTGTTGCTTGTTTGGCTTGTAGCTTCTTGTAGCTTGTTGCTTCTTTTTTTGATTGGCTCCCGGCAAGCGGGGGAGAGAGTCCAGGATACACAGCGGGCCCACCACAGTCCCAGACTGCACTCCGCAGGGATCTGGTCACATAGAGTGTTGGAGTTCTTAGGGATTGGCTTGTTTTGGCCTTGTTTTGAAATGGGATCAGCTTGATTTTTGGCTTATTGTGAAAGTCAGGGTGCTTATTTATTAGGGGAAAGTTGGCAACTGTGTCCAGAACCTTCTGGTGTAACTCGGAAAACCCTGAGTTTCCCCTAGACAGCCACAGGCCCAAGAACTTCAAGTGACTGATAGATGATCTGAAAAGAGTGTTGTCAAATGCCCTAGATATGATTGTCTTATAACTTAATATTGCTTCTGAGCACCTTGTTGTCAGATAGAGCTAATGATGTCTCTTTATGATAGCATTAGCAGGACACCTGCCCCTGCCATCTGAGGACAGAGATGACTGAAAAAGACCATTTTGTAAATTGTTTGTTTCAGAAGAGCTTGTGAATTCTGTTCCTTTATTACTTCATACTGAATTATATCTTATCATTAATGTCTGACTGAACTAGTGAATATGCATTTAAAAAATAAATATATAAAAAAGTTAATCAAGATAACTGGAAGAGAGGGAGGCAGGTTATTTCTGTTTCTTCTGCTGAGCTTCAATATCCTCTGTTGGATGCTGCACTTAAACTTCTGGGCATAAATATATATATCATCTGAGAGTTTAATACTGTAAGGTGCTAAGAGCCCTCAGCTTCCACAGAAGTTAATGGAAAGCGAGGGCACTCATTGCATTGCAGAAACAGGCCTTATGTGCATATTTAATATGTTAATATATTACCATTATGGAATTCTTACAATGCTGAAATAGCCTTACTAAGCACTGACATTTTTTCACTGAAGCATAGGGAGCATCCAGTGCTGATGCTAAGTTACTAAAAATTTCAGAATTTTTATTTTAAATATTAGAAAGTAATCAAACAGAAACGAGCACAAGTGAGTGTTTTGCAAATTCTATGACTTCACTGAGAGTTTCATAATAGGGACTAGAACATCTCACTCTCTCGTTTCGTGTTCCCCATTTCAGTTACCTGAACTGAACGTACTAAGAAATACACTGATTGATCAATTGAAAATCATAAAATTACATGATAAATGCCATGATGAACCACCAAATGAAAAAGAAAATGTGTGCCTACTGGGGCATTAACAAGCCATATTTGCCTCAAAATGCTGGTTTGGTAAACAGCTTTTGGAAAAAAAAAATTCTTGTTGTTTAGTGAGGAAAAACCCATCCCAGCTGTGACATACCAGTAATTAGCTTGCCTCCACAGGTGGGCAAGATGGAGGTCATGGGGAAGAACTGAGAGAAGAAACTTATGTATGGGGCTGGAGAGGAGTTGTGGACTCTGGGAGAGGCCAGACTCCAGGCAAGAAACCCTGGATGTGGGTGCGGGATATAGAGCAAGAGAACAAACCCTCCTGGAAGTGGGGCTGGGTCTAGCTGGAGACTGGAGTGAAGACTCTGTTTGTTTTGGACTATCAGGGAGAGATATGACTGAGTTCTGTTGCTGAAAGATTTTGCAAAAATTTGAGGGATGGTGCTGCACCTAGGCCACCATCAAGTGCACAGGAGCTGTCTGACCCTGATACATTTACAAACAAGTGCACCTACCATGTGGGAAGCCCAGACATTTCAAAATATACTAGTGCTTGAGAACCAGATCATGAAATTGTTTGGAAATTGACTAGAAACAGGAGAAACTGATAATAATTTAGCCCCAATCCAGCAGCTGGATCTGTGCAGGTAACGGGGCCCCTGTGCCTCACGCAGGAGTGGAGGTAGTCAGCCTGGATCTCATTGCAGGATCAGGGCCCTAAATTGTTGATGATAGCATAGTTAAGGGGTGGTTATTTTAATAGGTTTTTTTAAGCTGTTTAATACCAAGTAAATCATTTAGTTATTGACAGGGTGGGCAATAAACAGCTGAGGCAAACAGATTATGAATTCTGTTTTTGTTTGCCAGCGTCTGTCCACTAACTGCTAATAATCAATCTCTAATCTCTTTACAGATTTCGAACCTCTACATATATGACACTGTGCTTTTGTTGGCTAATGCTTTTCATAAGAAGCTAGAGGACCGGAAGTGGCACAGCATGGCTAGCCTGACTTGTATCAGAAAGAATTCCAAACCTTGGCAAGGAGGGCGATCCATGCTGGATACCATCAAGAAGGTACCTTCCTCCTATATTTCATTCTCTTTAGTTTCCACTCCAGTGAGGAACAAATCCCATTTGATGAAAGGTGTTCTATTTTTGCTAACAGCAGTGTCTTTCCAAAAGTGATAGCATTAGTGCAATGACAAAACAAGTTCTAATGGAAAACTCTCCTTAAAGATTTTTGGTTTGGTTTTGTTGTTTTGTAATGGGCATATTTGAAACAAAAATATTATGGTTGCTGAATATCAGACTCACGGGTATTTCAAGCACAAAAAAAAAAAATCACATTATTTTTGTGCCCAGGAGGTAGGAAGGTAAAAAAACACAGATCAGTTTTTCCAAGATAATTGATATTAGAATTACAGTCGTTCCTTTGTCAGTAAAACACTATAAGAAAAAAGGTTGGAACAATTGCATCCAGCTAATATTCTTTGCAATTCATTATTAAAATCCTACAGGCATAATGTAATAGAATCATACAAATCAGAGCCAGAAAAACCCTATTAAGTCATCTAGTCTATACCCTGCCAGTACAGGATTGTTCCCTATGGTATAATTTATACTGCTTTGTCCAGCTTTGTTTCCCAAGGAATGGGCTTCCACTGTTTCTCTTGGAATATTATTTCATATCCTAATTATACTCAGTGTCAAGAAACTTTTTCTTGAAATTCAGTCTTATTTTCTGGCATTTAGTGTTATACTATTATTCCTAGTTGTTCCTTTCCTTTCTTGTTGTTTATACCCTTCAAATATTTGTAGACTATTACCATGGTATTCCCTGGTCAGCACCTATCCAAGAAATACATAGTGTGTTTAATCTTTCCTCATAAATCAGTTGACCCAGATTCCTAATCATATTAGTATCTCTTGTTTGAAATCCTTCCAATTTGTCAATATCTTTCTGGTAATGATGTACTTGCAATGTATATTTACACAGTGCTGGCAATTCCTATATTGTATTAATGAAGGAAAACTACAGTGATTTTCAAAAATTACAAAACTGTTTAATCTTATTTTAAGAAGAATTAAAGTGTCTTTTTTTCAAAAGGCAGTTAACATAAAAATCACAACACTTTTTAAAGTAACGAGAGGCAGCCATTTTGGGTCAGATCCTAAGCCCTACCAGAGCAGTTAGACTTGGCAGCAACAAAGATGGCTTCTTTCAACCAGCTTCATGCTGCTCCCAATCCTGGGGCCAATCTGCACTAGTCCTGGTGTAAAGCAAAGCAGCCTCAGGCCCAGTTTGTATGCTACTGACTGCTCCTGGCCCCGCCAGGTCCCATTCTTGTAGCTGGAGTTCACCAGCATGTAGAGACACCTACGCCATGTCTTCTATACCAGGGGGCAGTAAGTAGTTTAAATGCCTTTACAATGGTACTTAAGTTACCAGAGAAATCCATCAAGCAGATTTGGCTGCTCCTATGTTTGTTTGATCTTTACACTACACTTTCCCAGGCTTGGTTGCTCCTAGGGTATCCTTCCTCAGGAGCTGTCTGCTAAATCCTAGCACACACCCTTTCTCTCTGAGGGCTACTTCCACTTACTCATACCTGAGTGGGACACTCAGCCAACAAACCCACTTTACCTTTTCCCATTAGGATTAACACTTGTTATCTGAATGGGGCATTTCAGACAAATATAACCAGCCATGTCACATTCTCTAAACTGAGTCTAGGGATACACAGCCTTGAAAGGGATGTCTGACTGCATTTCTACTTTTTTTTCTTAGCTTGCTTGTGACACGTACCATTCCCATTCTCCTGCATGAGCATCATTTATGCTGTTTCTTACCACGCTGTCAGCTTTTTGCTTTCAAATGCTGCAGAGTTTATTAAATTCTTTGCCATGTCATCCTCACTAACATTTTCAGTTTGTCTTTTTCTATTTCCTGCCTTTTATAACAGGATGATTAATAAAACAAAGTCCTCCTGTGACCTTTCACACAAGACCTACACTGTGTGAAGATTAATCTGTGAAGTGATTCTCCTTGAAACATAAAGAGAAATGACCAACCAAAGGAAATGTGAAAGTCTTTGAGAAGGCAGGAGCAAATTAAAACCCTATGTAAGGGATGTGGGTTAGATCACTAGTGGATTAACTGAAGGTGTGGTAATTCCTGAAATGTGCAGCCCTAGCCAGAGGTTGAGTTCCTTGTCTTTGTCTCTCCTGGCCCCGTTTGCAAAAATTGGCTTTGGTGAGAAGTCAAAGTTTATAAACTGAAGGCACATCTGAGTATTGTTTGTACTGTACCATCTTGACAAAAGATGATTTTTCAAGTGCAAAATGCTATAGCTGTTACAAAACGAAATCAAATCCAAATGCATAGCCTCCCATGTGTATGCAGTCCTCCACTTCCACACGTGAACAGGAGCCTACGTTCATGGGCCAGTGCTGGAATAGCATGGAGAGGTGGATTTCTCTTTGTGCCATGCTCCCCTTTTCCTTTGAACACATAAAAGCCCATTCGTAGGAGTCTTGCCGGATCCCTACTTTGTAGTTTTGGTAAAATGCAGGCCAGATGTGACTGTTGCTATCAGACAGACTATGTCTATGTCAGAAGTGGCAGAAAACTTTTTAAAAAACAGACACCCTTTCCCTATTGAGGATTTCTTCATCTGCTTCCCGTTGGGACCTAGTGCTCTGCCTTTTTCTCTCCCTCATCCCTTGCCCTGGCATCACTGAACATTCAAGACCCAATCGCACTCCAGATGTTCTCCTCCGCACTGAAGATCTCTCTCCTCTGTCTCCTTCAGCGGAGCACAGCCCAGTGCTGAGCAAATGCTTAGGATTTAACTGGCTCTGCCTTGTCTGAGACTAGATAGGGCAGAGTGAGTTGAGCCCCGATGAGTGTATTAGCCTGGAGACCCTGCTTAATGCCATTCTGCTCTAGGATAGGAAAAGGACCCTCTCTTGGTCTCCTTCTGCCCATTTCCCAAAAGGGAGACAAGTGTGAGTGTGAAGGGAGCAGTGATTATGGTGTTTCTAGGAAAGGGCTGTCGGTATGTAGGGGGGCAGGGTTGTCTGAGAGCATTGGTGCATGTATGGCAATGTGTGTCAGAGTAGAAATGTTTGTGCATATCTAGAAAGGGGCAGTGGCTATGTCTGGTGGGCGGGGTTTGTGTCCATGAAAATGAAGAAAAGAGTATCTGAATAATGGGTTAGGTGGGAGAGAACAATGAATAAGAGTCTGTGGGAAGGGAGCAAGGAGAGAGCTGGGGAACCCCAGAAAAGAGTAGCGAGTCTGAAGGAGAGGCGAGTTCCTGAAACAGCACTGTATAGAAGGGAGGGAGAGAGGAAAAAATATTACACATTACAGGAAAAATAACTTTGAGGGGAAAACAGGATTAAAAAAGGAAGGGAATGTGTTCTGTCATATAGTTAAAGGAAAGAAAAATGCAAAGGAGACATAGTAAAGTTTTCTTTTTAAAATGATTTGCAAGGAAGTGTAATGCTACTAGGGGACATGGTCCACCTACTGAACTTCACCTATAGTAGCTAAAAGCCTAGAGAGGGGCTTGGGGTTTGGAAGCACCTGGGAATGTGAGAGAGACTTGCTCAGCTGGATTCTTCCCAAGCCAAAACTGTGGGTCTATGTTATAGGAGCATTGGCAGTGTGGAGGCCAAGGATCTCCATCTACATTCTCTTTGCATCTAGGAGATCCCCCAAGTTCCATAGGTTTTGGTGGTTAACCAAAGAGAATACCCTATTCCTCCTGCCATGAGGGAATATACAGATAACTCTGTGAGCTAAAACTCAGATTTTCCACTCCCATATGCAGGTTAATTCTGCATAGGAAAAAATGGCACCAAATGTTTAGCTATTACACTTAGCTCCTAGTGGATGTAATCAAACCCATTGAAAAAAGCAGATTCTGCTTCCTGCCAATCTGTTCCTCCAAAATTAAGATTAGGTTGCATGCATTTGTTTATATTTATTCTGATGGAGCTTCCCTCAGAGACATGAAATAATAATACATTTTTACTTATTATAGGGCACCCATGCCCATGATGGCTTGTATATACCTAACAAAATACAACTTAAAAATAATCATACCTTGTTTTTAAAATGGTGACCGTAGACTAATTAGTTCCCAAGCGATAATTCTAGGGATGGGTAAAAGTTAGATTTTCACTCTGATTTGTGTGCCTATATGGGAGAAGGTAGGGGGAACATAGTAATGTTCACTGTATTCAGGGAATTCTACATATTGGAATAGTTCCTGGAGTACCCCAATGAGCATCTTACCTAAATTGGTTTAAATAAATAACACAGCCCTTAAATTTAGAAACACTGTACCATGGGTGGAAATACAGTTGAAACTGATAAGGATGGGTGTGCTTAGGGGTGGATTTCTTGTAATTTCTAATCTAATTTCTGATTTGAAATCCATACTACTGGGCTTTTGCTTTTCAATGCTTTTCGTTCCGATTCTAACCTCTCTTAGGCTGCAGAAACCCACAGTCTCCACAGTGCAAATTGGACTGTTTGGGGGCTGAGACGGAGCTATTGTAATAGTATTTCCTCTCTAACTGCTATAGCTAAGGTTCTGCCAGCCTTTGACATATGAACACCTGTTCACAGCTCCACCATAACCATTTGTCCAAGAGTAAAACTTATCATATAATGTCTGGGTCCCACATATAAATGTGTTTTCTTCACAAAAATCCATTTGGCTATTTAAATGCAAGTATTCATATGAAAGAAATTGCGGTTATCCATTTTTAGTACTCAGCTATTAGTATTGTAAACATGCAGTTTTTCATTCCATAGCTAGATTCTTATTGTGACTTTAAAATAAATGTGGGGCTTTATAGAGAAGATACATTGCACATTCTGTAATAGCTATTCACAAGATTCTGGGTAGTGTTTTGGATTAATGGGCTCAAGGTGTATAAATCTACACCATGCACCTAGGTCTATGAATGCAAATGCCTGCTTGCTTGCTTTGATTTCTGCTGCCAGGCCTAAAGCTTGGATAAAGTTCCTCCCTGGCAGTAGATGGGAAAAGTACCTT